GCAGCTCCTGCCCCCACCGTACTAACGTCTGTAGGAGCACAGCGCTGCTCCCCCCGCCTCGCTCCCTCCAGGGTACAGTTGCTCTGACCTCCGCGTCCAGCCGGCCCCGTTCCTACGGCGGTTCCCAAAGCGGGAGGTGTGCTGTGAGGTTTCCTTGAAAAAACAAGCAGTGACAACAGGGCTGTTGCCTGGGGCTGAATACGGGGCTGACAGAGAGCCGCCGAGACACTGCAGCTGCAAATATGAATTCTGCTATTCCACAGCTTTTCAGTGTGGATTTATTTCCAAAGCAGTTTTTCTAGCCTCTCTGAGCCTTCCTGTGGCCCAGATTCACCACAAGCTTCCGGCTCCTCATTTTCTGTTGCTTTCTGGCAGAATTTGGGAACCTGCTTGGAGGCCGGCTGTGAGATTGAACCTGAGCTATAAATACAGAAATCTCTCTCAAAATCCCATCGTAAGGGGACATGCACTCCTCTGCGGGCAGAGCCCCTGGCACAGGATCGCCGTGGCTTTGAACATGGCAGCAGGGTGCACGTGTGGCCGTGGCCCACCTACCCCCCTCGAGAGCATGCAGGGGCCAGATCTTGTTCATCCTGCCAGTTTTCGGCAGCATCCCTCAGTGCCTGAGGGGCTTTGGCTTCTTGTTCTGGGCAGCGTGGACCAGGGGAAGGTGTCGGTCCCTGCCTCCGGTGGGGAGGGCTCGGTGCAGAACGCAGTCAGGCTGGATGGCAGCGGCATGGGTCTCGGCTCACGTTAAGGGTGGAGGGAGCTGGATTTTGCATGTGTGCCCCCCCCCCACAGCCCTTATCCCCTGCTCTGGTCTGCCCACACAGCCTGATTACTCTGCCTTTGTGTGCTGCAAGGTGGGAGCTGGGAGCAATTCCCTCTGCTGTTCTGCCAGCCATGTGTCCGCGCCTGATAAGAGGCCACCAGAGACCAAAGATAAGTTTTCTCTTGGTGCTGGGTCCACGTTTCCTCAATCATCTTGCTCTATCTTTTGTTTTCCGTGATGGCAATAACGGTGCGTCGTCTGTGGGTCAGGACAGGTGTTTTCCAATCAGACGCTGCCTTCCTTTGAGTTGGACAGCGTTTAAGTAATTGTGAGCCATCTGTAATTTGTACTGGTAATTATGCCACTTAACAGGGGCTTGTGGGGAGCAAATAGTAAAAATGGAGTTTTAATGGTTCCTGGGTTTAATGGCTCTAGACACGTTTTTAAGAAAAATCTCTAGCAGGATTTTAGAAAAAAATCAGGAGCCAATTAGATTAACCAGGTAAATAGACTGTCAGCTTATTGAGTATATTCTTGTGCATCATTTTGCTGGGGCAGCAAGTGCTGGTTTTCACAGGGTTTGTTTAAAATCACAGTTGCGAGCAGCCAGGCTATTTGTAATTACACTCTGACAGGGAAGAAATGACAAGGACCGCCACCTTCCCTGCCATCTTCGTACAATCATCAGCCATTGAGTCATGTGCAAAGCAGTCACCAAAATGTTCCATTTTCTCATTTCGCCCTGCCTATTATAATCATTAGCCATTCATCACTGATGTTATACGTACTGGCAAGCGCTTCAGATGGTGTCTCGTGTGTGCCTTTCAAACCTAGCCAGGCAAAAACGCATCCAGTGACAACATGTGACACGCTAGCAGGAGCAAACAGCTATTTTTGTGAGGCAGCGATGTGCTAATTTTCAAGGCATATTGAGAGGATAATAGGAAATGTTGGAATTCATTATTCTGCGTTCAGTGTAATTACTCTGATTTTACTGAGTTTGGAATGAGGAAGAAGAGAAATCCTGCCTTTTCCAAGAAATGTATTTATTGCTATTTGCTTTGTTTCATACCTTGAAAGCACTTCCTTCTCTATAGAAATCTGGAGGTAAATAAACCGTTAGTCACTGAGTAGTTTCATTCAGAGTCATCAGCCTTTTGATAACATTTGTCATCTTATGCAGGGCACCCTAGATATTTTAATCAACTTTCAACTGGATTGGATATGGTTGGATTGGCAGCAGACTGGCTGACATCAACAGCAAATACTAATATGTAAGTAGCAGGTTTTCTTTCTGTAATAATATTTAATATAATTTTACAGTTGTACTCTAAAATACTAGCTGCTGTAGCTGATTGAAAGAAAGAATACTTTTATGTTAAGGTTTCTGGAAAAACAATTGCTTCTTAAATGATTGCTACAGCTATTCACAGGAAGACTTTCAACATTGTCCTGTAGGCTGTCTTCTGTAAATTTTCATCATATTAATATGGTACTGGTTTTGCTACCTCCTCAAAAAATAGACAGAAAAAAATATTTCAGCATTTTGCATGCATAAATGTGTAAAATGAAAGGTGCTAAGTTGCATTCGTGTAGAGTGATTATGTACAGTCCACACAGAGTGGTTAGAGCCATCGCTTTTCTGTAAGAGGTGCAGAATTTAGTGTGAGGGTGGTTTTTTTTTTCATTTTGGGACTAGGAAGCATTTTTGTGCACTTGCTTAGCTTCATGCACTGCCTTGTCATCATGAAGAGGGCTGCTGACATGTATGCTTCTAGACGTGCACACAAGTTTTTGCAAGGCAAAATTCTGGCTCTGCCCAGCCGCTCTTGAATATAGGGCAAAGCCTTGAGCCTGGAAGAGGTGGGAAAGATTCGTTTCACTGAAATGGGTGGAAATGCAGTCTGAAGCACACTCAGCATTTCTCCTTCTAGACATCTGTCGTCAAATCAGAAGGATTATCAAAAGTATTGTAAGACAGAACTGTACCCAGTGCAAGATAGAGTATGTTGTGGCTGTGATGTAATGTAATATTGGAAAAAGATGTGTTAGTGTTGTAGATGAAAACATTAAATGTGGACATTACTACGTTTCAGGTTCACCTATGAAATTGCTCCAGTGTTTGTACTTTTGGAATATGTCACACTAAGGAAAATGAGAGAGATGGTTGGCTGGCCAGGGGGCTGTGGCGATGGGATATTTTCACCTGGTACATGACATTTCAAGCTTTCTTTATTTTTCAGACTGTTGTATGACATCCTCCGTAGTTAAAGAGTAAACATAATTAAATATGCATGTTTGAGAGGACACTTGCTAATAACCACCAGTGGCCTCTTTGAGATAAAGTATTGCATGCTTATGAATTTCGGGGATGTGATTATGAGGGTCTGTTTGAGCAAATGGCACTGCATTATGAGCAGCTGTAATGACACATGGGAAACATAATCAGAAGAGACATCGGTCTTGCGGTTTGGCTTTGCCCCCACTTTTTATGGATTACATGAAATAGGCAGACTGTTGTATTAATAGTGGAGGGAAGAAACATGGCAATGCTCTCCACCACCACAGGGGAAATTGGAGCCAAGAGGGAAAGACATGGCATCCCTTTAACAGTGGAGTTGGTAAGACCCTGCCAACATTTTAGTATGCGGTTAGCTTTCCACCTGTGAGCTGGCCTGTTGAGCTCAGTGGGGCTACTTGGGTGGCTAGTTAATTGGAGTGTTTACAGGCTCAGAAACGTGGTTCCTTCAGGGCAGGTCAGTAAGGAAGAAAATAAGTGTGATTAACTGTAGACAATCATTGACTCTGATAAACACGACATTGTTAAGGCTTTTTCTTTTTTTAGTCATTCCACTTAGTCTTTTGATTTATGCTCCTTGTCACCTCCGATCTTACTCTGGGATTTCATTGCTAACATTTTTGGCCTATCTATCTCACCAAATTGCAAAAAAATTGAAAGAATTGACATTGGGCTTTAGCATCTTAGCTTGTCAAAAGAGAATGGACTGATAGTTAGTGGGAAAGGAGTCCTTCTGGAAAGAAAGTTCATTGACCTAATGGAGAGTGGAAGGAGTGTTTAGAGCAAAGGAAAGGCCTCGCTGATAACAGCCAAGGATGTTCAGCTTTCCAAGGACATGAAGAGTAGAGTTCATGCTGTGCAGAAGCTCAGGCAAGGCTTAATCTTCAGCTTCTCACACCTGAATGCACACCTGGGAAGCAGTGCAGGAGTTTTGTTCTCGGCCGCAGGGGTGGAGAAAAAGATGAGAAAAATTTACATTGCTTCTTGTTGAGTCCTTATTTAAAAAGCACTGAGAGCAAAAGCTCTGACAGCTTGCAGAACCTACCAAAACTGTGGCCTCCACCACACAGGGCAGCATCTAAATGTGTATCACAAGCCCAACTGAAAACGTGTATCACAAGCCACTTCCTTCATCTAGCTGAAACCTGCGTGGAGATGGGCTGTCTGACAGGCATGTACATGTGCTGGTCGTTCACAGTGCTGCCCCCCTCAGCAGGTTCTGCTTTTTCAGGCAATAATCAAAATCATCTCCCTGCTGTCTTCTCATTTCAAACCACAACAGCTCCAGCTGAAGACCTTACTGTTGCAGAGAAAAGGTTCTCTGCGTCCTCTGGAATGAAATACGCAGTATCAATACATGCAAAACACAAAGGCCTGATCAGGTTCTCCAAATTCTGTAGGTGTGTTTTGTTGCCTGCAATGAACTGTGGGTGTAAATACAGCTGCAAAACTAAAGGCAGAGTGTGGGCTTATTAGTAAGGTTAAGGTGAAATGGCTAGGTAATAAATACTGACAGGAAAGCCCGGTATTGAAGAAAGTTGACATTCCAGTCTTGATTCTTTTGACACTGAGCCAATGACTTTGGACAAGATAGGCCAAATTTCTTCAAGCTGGATACCTTAGTTTAGTCACCTAAATCATCAACAACAGTCGTTACATGACATCTGCATTTTTTAGGGACAGGTACCGGAGCATTTCCTCTTCATCTCTACATTTCTTGTTTTGTCATTTGTGAAAAGAGGTATAGGAATATGTTCATACCTCTCAAGATAGTTCAAAGGGGAAGAAAAAGCCCAAGTTGTGCTGATCACCATGCCAGTGATGCCATCCCTCTGTGGCATTTTCCCTTGGATTCACAGGAGGGCCAGTGAAGTCAGGGAAAGCCCAGAGCAGGGGCAGCCTTACTGCAAGAGCAGAGCTAGGACACTGATGAGAAACAAAGGGCACAATTTCTGTGGGCTGTGGAACAGTGTGTATATCTCCAGTGGGATAAATAAAAATCTTACAAAAGTCAAAACGATGTTAAATTTGCTAGCACAGATACCCTGCTGTTGTAACATGGTACAATGTCGCTGCGTTCAGCAGAGCCACCTTGATCTGCTTAAAGGGTGGATTTTATCTTCATAGAATGGTTTGGGTTGGAAGAGACTTTAAAGACCATCCAAATCCCCCAGCCCAGCCATTGTCAGGGACCCCTTCCACTAGATCAGATTGCCCAAAGCCTCATCCAGCCTGGCCTTGAAGACAGCCATCTTCTCTCACTTCGGCTGTCCAAGAACTTGGTGTCTGCCCTGGGCTAGTTACAGCAGCTCCCATGTATTCAAGGGAGAGGGATGGATGTGTTTGCAGGGCAAGTCATCCCACTTCGCACAAGCAGCTACCTTAGGATGAGCTGAACCATCTTCTGGAAGTGCCTGTCTTCACTCCATTTTTAGATGAGAGAAAGTTGGGTTGGTTGAACTCTACCTCAGCTGCACACTGACCTGTTCATTTAAAAGTCTAAAAACATGATCAGTATACACTTTTGCTTTATATAAATACATGTGTGTGAACATCAATATATAATCAATCTGTATATATATATATATATAGTATATATACATGATAAAACTGACGGATTTTATGTGTGCGTACGTACCTAAAAGTACTCAGACTCTGCCTCAGGTTCTGCATTATATTCCCATAGTGCTCATGCAGCATTCATGTGTAGCCGAACATTGTTCCACTACAGACGCAGAGACTCAGTTTGTAAAAGGCTCAGAAAGGAAAAATGAAGTGCTCGTTTTTTATGCATTGATAATTGAAATACGGAAATACAATATGTACCCATTTTGAAGTGGATAAAACACTCCCCCCATGAAATGGGTATTTTAAGTCAGAGAATGTCAGTGATTTTAAGGCTAGTGTTAGTCACATGTAACCTTGTGCCCTTGCTCCCATCAGAGAACAAATAAAAATATTTGTTGGAATGACCCCTTTTTCTTTCCCTCCCTCCACTCCAGTGACCCAGAAGTTGTGTTGGGACACACTGTGTGTGTTTCCTTACAGCCAGGGCATGAAAACACCACCTTAATTTGGGAGGGGAGAGCACAGATTAGGTTGCACTTGGATGCCACATAGAGTGGGAATGATGTGTTGATGGCATATGGAAAGATAAGACTGGGGACTAAAGGAGAAATGGTAAGAAAAATTAGGATGAAAGGCAACCCTCATCATTTTTTTGCAGCAGTACTTCTTGCATAAATTGTTATTTGGGTGTAGTGGATTCTGTTATTACACAACCCAGCTGTGAGGAGCATCAGGAAGAAGAATCTGCCCTTAGGCAGGAACATTAACATCAGAGTTAGGAAAAGTGTAGCAAGAGTTGTCGTTTGTTCTGCAATAATATTACGATGCATAGAAAAAGTAACAGTATATTACTGTGGACTGACTCCAGGTGGTGCCATATCTAACATGTATGCTATGTTGATTGCACGTTTCAAGATGTTCCCAGAAGTTAAAGAAAAAGGAATGGCAGCTATTCCCAGACTGGTTGCCTTCACGTCAGAACATGTATGTGTTTCTGGTGGTTTTTTTCCCTCTGTTACATGTCCATGTATGATTTTATGATGAAGAAAATAAGTGAATGGGAATTTGTAACCAGCTGTCTTAATTTCTGTTATTCCTTCAACGGGAATAGAAAATGGGAAGGGACTGGCTTTTTGATACATGCAGGGATGAGCTGTGCTGAAAACCAGCTTTTTCTGTGGCTGAAACCCAGGGAGAGCAGAATCTACAAAGCGCTGCCCTTTGTTTTTTCTCTCACTTGTGTCTGTGTAAGTGTCGGTGCGAAAGGCAAGGACCACATCAAGTGGTGGCAGCTTAGCATCGGGCTTCTGCACGTTCTTCCAGGAGTGTCTTTTGTTCGGGGTACAGAAGATCACTGTGAATCACAGTGTTTCCAGCTGAAACCACTCCTGCTGTTATTTAATGAGGGGGTGGTAACACACATGAAGGCAGCGGTACGGAAGCGCTGCGTGTGTACAGCAGGATGGTGGGGAGCTGGGCTTTGCTGTGGGTTTCTGTCTGCGAGCAAAAGCTTCGGCGCACCGGGGTCTGGCAGGGCAAGAGGGGAGGGGAGGTGGGCAGAGGAGAAATCAGAGTGGTCTTCATGGGAGAAACGCGGAGTGTTTTGCTCTTTGAGCAACCACACGGGAATCATGTTTCTGTCTGTATTGTGAAGATCAGTTTGGGTTTGTGGCTGTTTAAACCTCCTTTCAGCTCATGGTGGAGAGTGTGTGTGCAAGGAGGAAGGCTGAAAGGAAGGGTTATACCCAGGTGAGGCTGTGAGCTCTGTTTGGGCTTCACAGCCCCCTTCTAAATTTCTCTTCAGCTGTGTGGGCTTGGCCACAAAGGACTCTCTCATGGCTCGGGCTCAGCAAGGTGCTGTCCACGTCAGGTGACAACATCCTCCTGGCTGCCCTTTCTGACTTACTCTGGAACATGTTTCAGTTCTGTGTTAAGTGTGAAGAGCAAAGAGTCCTGAAAACTGATCAGAAATGTCCCCCCTCCAAGGATGCCTTTCACGGCAATAGGATGAGATGCAATACACAGCTGTGGGCTCTGCATTGCAAAATAATTGTCCCCAAAGCAGTCAGAGAGAAGGATATTCTGCAAATGAGTAGGAATTCTCCAAAGTTGGCTGTACAGCTAGAAATGCATTATTCATTTGGAAGTTACAGACCTAATAAGTCTTGCAAATAAGGTTCAGCATGATTATTTAAAATAACAAATCCTATTAATCATTAGAGAATTTCAGTGTATTCATAGTGGTGGAATGTTAAACAATATTGTGCTAGCAGTCCCAAAATAATGAAATGAGCTTTAATAATTGTGTTTTCATGCCAGGGAAGAAGCAGTTCCCTTAGCAAATTAAGCATTCCAAAATCAAATACGCTAGTGAATCCATAGAACAGCATCTGAAATCTATTACATTTTAAAAGTATCTTGAAATTGCAGTTTCGTCCCTCCCTCAATCAAGTTTTTTATAAAGTATGTAGTGGCACATCTTCTAGGAAAGTTAAGAAGCCGTAAGTTTCATTTGTCTGATTTAGCATGTCGTGCTGGTCTCTGCTTCCTTGTAGACTCTCCAGTCTGATGCAGGTTTCTTTCTGCCACAGTTGGATGCTCCTGTAAGATGATGGCTGTGGAACGAACAGTCTGTTAACGAGTTACTATCATTTCCTCATACTCTGCACATGTGGCATGATAGTAAACAAAGCCTAAAGTTATTCCATGTGCTTAGAAACCTGGAGATTTTTGTCTCAAAATTTTTGGTCAGAAGCAAACATTCCAGTATCAGCGATTCTCTGACAATTTCAGCGTCACAAATCAGACTCTATCACTTCTACTGATCTAGATTTTCTGTTACTGTAAATGAATGAAGTTACTCCACAATTGCCACCAATATTACTGTAATCAGAATCTGGACTCAGTCGGATGCCGTGACAGGTTCAGCTGCCAGAAGGGAGGAGTAAATCACAGCCCTTAAGTAATTCCCTTCCTAATTTAGGAGTGCATCATGTTCCTAAATTAGGAGCCTCATTCTGCACAGTCAGTGAGGAGAGGCACCTCTGAAGGAAGACTCAGAGCATCCAAATTGGGAACCTAAATATTCCTTAATTTAGATGTTTTAAATCACCTTTGGGAAGGGTTCACCTACTTCTGTGCAGTGACCATGCGGACAGATCGGCCTCCTGACATACGCAACCTACATTAGGTGCCTAAAATAGGTTTTGTGACCGTTCCAGCCGTGTGTGTTCCTATTAAGCACATCTCCCCCGAACTGTTCAGGAGGACTGTGACGTCTCTCACTCCACTTCTGTACATGTCTGTTTCCCTAGTGATGATGCAGTACGTTATAACTTCTTAGCTTAGTCTTGGCCGGGGTATATTTTCACTGAGATGCACTTGGTGCCCAGGACTTAATTTGATCCCCTGTATTCACCAGTGCGTCATCAGTGGTTTTCAGCTGTACTTGTGCGGGAGCAGAGTGATGTCCTTCAGGACTGTTTGGACTGTACACGACACAAGAGACCTTGACTCAGAGGGGTAAAAGTGATTGATGCCAGTTGTAAAAGCCTATTTTAGTCTGTCATTTCAAACACAGTGAAAAATCTCAGATGAAGGCTTCCTCCTGTGTCCCAGTGCATCAGCTTTAGGCTGCTGTGAGTGTTCAGCTGAGCACATCCCTTTTCAGTGTGGAGAGAGTCTGAAAGGGAGAGCTGCCTTTTCAGAGTATTTTCATTGATCCATTTGTGTGTAAGGCAAGTCCTATTGAACTTTACCACATTCCCTGTTGTGATTTTGAGCTGGCCAACTAGCACGCTCTTAAACAGCATCCAGCAATAGCTGGGAATGCCGTGGAGCAGGCCCCTAGCAGGTGAAAAGGAGAAAGTCGTATTCTGAGGAGGGGAGGGGTGCAGAGGGGAAAAGTTTAGCTGTAGAAGACTAGTTGGATTCAGCTTACTAAACAGTCCTTGGCCTTTTGACTTGATAGTATGAACATAGCTTATGAGACTTGCAGCTTTTACATGGACTCGGATGTTTGACTGAGGGCTATACAGACTCAACCCACAGTTCAGGGAATGAAAAAAAGATGGGCATAATTTGAAATACATAGGTATTTCTTCATCTCCTCTGTTCTCCAACCCAGCAAGACTGTGTTCATGTCATCCACATCAAGTTTTCCTTGTTTCCCACCCCTCTAGCAGCCATCTCAAGGAGAAACGCCTCGTCAGGTGCTCACCAGGGAAATAGCAATACAACTCCGGTCTTAGTTTTGGAAAAGAAACCACAGGGTAAGAACTGGCAGTTCACCCAGTTAGAGACCCAGTGGAACATGGAGAGGGTGTCTCTGCCTCTGGAATTCCCCCATCTGCACTGCATTTGGGGTGAAACAGCTCCTGCCCGAGGCTTCCCTGGGAACACAGCTCCAGCACCCACTGACTGGGAGGGAGGGTCTGTTGGCAGCTCAGGTATAAGGTGTCAGCGCTGTAGACAGCCAGACATACTCAGAGAGACCTCGTTTTCTTTTGAATCACCAGGAGCATCTGTGAGGAGGGGCTGTGGAAGTTCTTGATGCTGAGGCAGAAGGAAATTCAAAACTGAGTTCTGCCTCAAAGACGGCAGCTCGACAGACTTCCATGTCACACAGCTGTGGTAGATTTTGGCTTGGTTTCTGTGCAGAATGAAAAGCTGATCTGTAGTCCTACCACTTCCATGGCATGTAGCATTGCCCTCTAACCAGGCTACTTGGGAGACAGTTTCCAGCATTGCAAGAAGCAGTCCAAGGAGGGTGACCTGTGTGGTGGGTCATCCAGGGAATGATAGGAGGAGCCTAGGGATCATGTTTTCCATTTGGTGGCATAAATTATGAAGCCACAAGCTACTATTCTAAGGTTAAAGAATAGGTAGGGAGTGGTTTTGTTTCCACCTCAGGAAACTAAAAATCAAATTCATGGATTCACATATTTTCTATTTCTATTACCTAGTGCACAATAACTAGAAAATAACTACCACCATAGCTTGGTGGTATTTGAAGCCAGAGGGAAACAGTGAAAAAGGTGGTCTTATTTGAGGACCATCTTAATTCAAGTAACTCCATTCAAATCAAAGCAAAACCATTTTCCAGATAAGCCGTGCTCTAGGGCACCCTATCCCAGAGGAGACATTTGTCATTTGGGTCTGATCTTTCATTTTGTCACTATCTCATGGTTTTTATAGTGCCACAGGATCCTCCTGAACTCAGTGAAATGTTTCTCATCCACAGATGATGCTGTAAAGCTATCTGCACTGGGAAAAAACAAGTTGTGAGTCTTGCTGGATTAGAAAAGCAGTATGAAGTTCTGTCTTTCAAAAACGAAGAAGATGGAAATATTAGGATGCTGTGCAGAAACAGTATTATATTCATTTCTCCCCTGATATTAACAAATAACTTTAAATATTGAATAATAGTAGCTAAAGGAAACAACAACAAACATACATATCATTATGGTGTAGTAAAAGATGTGATGGGGCACAGTGTACTCTTTTTGTAGATAATTGAAGGAAAAGCTATAGCTTACAATGTGACGTTAAAGATAGGATTCATGTCACTTAACTTTAATCACCTAAAGTGTAAACATTTAATGTGAGTTAGTCTATGCACTTTTTATAGCCAATAAAAAGAGAGCAGGATCTGCAGAAGGCAACTCGTTCTAGTCTAAAATGGGTGCCAGAGCCTCAGGGATGAGGTGCCTTCTGGAGGTACCTTTTCTTCACCGCTATTGAGGGAGCCCGAACAGCTGGCCTAGACCAGACACATGTTTTTACATGATTAAGAGAGAAGCAGCCCAGACTGCACATCCAGGGATGCCACACTGTTAAAGCCCAGGAGAAGTGGAGAGGAAAGCATGTTCACCTCCTTGCTGGCGTGTGGCTGATGGGGTGAGGCCGGGCTCCAGGTCTGCTGGACATCAGGGTGCCAGCAACCCAAACCTGCAGACCTCGGGGAGGTTTCATCTGCTGGGTGGCTTGACTTGTTCAGCATTTGGGAGCTCACTCCTGATGAGCTCCTGCCACAAAGCTGGTGCCACTCTGGGTTTATGTGAGCAGGGAGAAACTGCAATCGAAAAACCAGCCATGGCCTTCGGGGCTCACGGCATTAGGATTCTTCTTCCTGACAGCTTCAGCCATGCCAGATTATGAGCAATTAATTTAGAAAGCTATAAAAATAGAAGCATCTCTGTATTGGAGCACTGTTAATTTAAGATAACAATGTCATGCTTTTCAGCATCACAACATTTTTAATTACCTAATTCTTCCTGTTTCCAAAGTACATATTCGTTATTGCACCTGTAATAAATTTACTGTGTGATTTTACTTGACAAAGCTAACCGAGTCAAAAATGGCTACCAAGCAAACAAACTTATTCCTAAAAGCATTTGAAATTTTAGACAAGGGGAAGATTCCCCTGGCTCAAAATCACCATTTTTTTTCCTGACCAATAATATGCTTCTGTCACTAAGACTGACACTCTATGCCTTCTCCTTCACCACTGGATTTTAACCACGTTTCTTTTCAGAGACAAATTGAGGTTCCTCCCTATTGGGAACGTATTTCAGGT